CCAAACTTGCCGCATCCCAGGGTTTCCTTGGCTGGCTGCAGCCCCAGGCAGGTGTTCCACAAGGAGACTGGTGCCGGGCTCTGCCAGGCTCTGCCGGGCTGCAGACTGACCAAAGCAAGTGCCAGCAAGTGGCAAGGCAGGTGCGAAACGCCAGATCCACCGCGTGGGCAAGCCAGGAGGTCGGGCTCTGTGGCCAGCACCTGCATTGCCAGTGTGAGGTCAGCTAGGAACTCGCTTCACCTCTCTGCTGCCCCCTTCTTCCCTCCCTCCCCACCGGTTCCTGCTGCCTCCTGCCGGGACCTGGTCCTTGCCTCTGGCACATGCCCAGGGACCAGGCTGTGACGTCTCCCTCCTCCCCCCACCCCCCCAGGCTTTCAGGGGCCCATACGAGCTGGTGGTCGCGGCCCCACGGAGCAGGGTATTAGGGTGAGAGTGGAATGGGGAAAGAGCCCAGGCTGGGAGATCTCCGTGTGTCTGCCAGGGTCCACCCTCCCCGTGGGCCTTCCCCAGTGGCTGGGCATCGGAGAGCTGAGCATCCAGGACTGGGGCCCATTGTTCAGCTGCCCCATCACTGTCCCCACCCGGGGCAATGTCTCCGGCCCCCCGTCGGTGCCTGGCCTGCCCCAGCCAGGGGTACCCAACTTCAGCTGTGCTCCCTGCCTGCCTGCCAGTGGCCAGTACCACTGGGGGGGGCAGGGGGACAAGTCAGCCGCCGTGCGTCTTACTAGAATGGCAAATGGGACAGTCCCTGACGAAGGCCCCTGGGGGGCAGGGACCCACGTCAGATTGTGGCTGAATTCAGCAAATAGTTTCAGCTGGAAAAACAAAATGGGGGGGGGAGGGGGGCTTGTAATAGTCAAAGGAGTTTTAGTTTGGCCGTTTCAAAAGGAAACGTTTTGACTTTTTGTTCCCAAACGGTATTTTTCTTTTCAAACGTTGCTGCTTTGCTTTACAAAGTCGGCACTGAAAAAAAACCGGAGGGGACAAAATTGTTCCGAGTCCAACACGACGTTTAGCTCAGCCCCAAAGGAATTTGCCTGGGTGGGAGAAACCCCAACTCTTCCCACACGGATCCAGGCCAAACCATCAAGCTCTTTGAATGGGGGGGCCCTAACGAGGGAGTCACTTTGCTCTCCATGCAACCTCCTCCCCCTGGCAGGGCCCTGAAAAAAAACCGGAGGGGACAAAATTGTTCCGAGTCCAACACGACGTTTAGCTCAGCCCCAAAGGAATTTGCCTGGGTGGGAGAAACCCCAACTCTTCCCACACGGATCCAGGCCAAACCATCAAGCTCTTTGAATGGGGGGGCCCTAACGAGGGAGTCACTTTGCTCTCCATGCAACCTCCTCCCCCTGGCAGGGCCCGAGGACCGTGCCGGCGGAGCAGGGCGGGAGGCAGCGGGCGAGGGTTTCCGACTCCCCGTCCCACGCACTCGTCTGTGGCCGGCAGGACAAGGGGGTGACAACGTGCAAGTCGTTCCCGGAGGCCGCGTGGGCAGCAGAGGCCTCTAGCGCAGGAGATAAATACAGGCAGCCCCTCCAGACCATCTTCGCCCCAGGAGACGTGGCCACCCCAGGCCGCTGCCCGACGGGATGCCGAAGCAAGGTGGAGTATTCTGCAGTGATCGTCTGGGTGTATCCTGGTGGCACCCCACCGAGCTCCGGCGCTGCCTGGCCCCTGTGCACTCCCCAGAGTCCCGAGAGCACTGGTCCGAGCCAGGAGCCTGGCCGGGGGGTCTGCTTCCAAAACCCATCCTACGAAGCTCTGGATGGGCCATGCTGGCGATCTGGCCAGCAGCCGGATGCGGGGGTGGCCTCCTTGGGTGCATTTCCGCTCCTGAGGACCGTGGTGGGGGAAGGGTCTGGAGACCCCCACCCTAACGGAGATCACCCTGGGTGCACATCCAGCCCTGTCGCACCCTAATGGCCGCTCCCTGGGCATGTGTGCGAGGAGGGAAGGCGAGCAGGCTGTCTCGCTGGACCCCCCAGGCGGGCAGAGGGGGAGCACGGAGGCAGAACGTCTCCCGTGGGAGGTGGGAGCGAGAGCCCTGCTGGTCAAAACGTGGCCTCAGTGATAGCGGGGAGGCGAGCAAACAGGGCGTGTTGAGCTGGGTCTCCGTGCACCAGAAGGGGGCCGGG